CAATAGCACAATATTGTTTTTTGTCCGTGGTGATATATTTGAAAGCCTTGCTCAACCCCTCAGGTACCACCGGTACTCCTAAAGGTGTCATGATTGAACATAAGGGAGTAGTCAATACCGTATTATCTTTAAACAATATATATGATTTTAGTAAGGGAAATAAAGTAACTGCATTCACATCTTATGTATTTGATGTATCAGTGTCAGAATTTTTTACTGCATTATTCAGAGGTGGAGTACTTTATTTACTCAATGAAGAAATAAGAATTAATCCATTATTGATTAGTAAATATATCATAGATAATGAAATTAATTATGTGTATTTGCCTCCTGTAATATTGGCTACTTTACCTAGGATAGAGTATAAAACGCTTTTTGGTATAATATATGCAGGAGAACCATGCGATATAAATATCGGTAAATATTGGGCAAGTAATTGCAAGCTGTATAATTATTACGGTCCAACAGAAATAACAATATATGCATCTGGTAAACAAATAATAGACGGAGATACAAATTTAATAGGTACTCCAATTACCAATGCTAAATGCTATGTTCTATCTGCTAACCTTACTCCTCTGCCTATAGGAGTAATAGGAGAGTTACATATAGGTGGCGTAGGTGTTGCTAGGGGCTATTTAAACAAACCAGAACTCACAGCAGAAAAATTCATCGCCAATCCTTTTCAAACTACAGAAGAGAAAAAGTCAGGTAGCAATGCCAAATTATATAAAACTGGAGATCTGGTACGCTGGCTAGCTGATGGTAATTTAGAGTATATAGGCCGTAATGATTTTCAGGTGAAAATTAGAGGTTTTCGTATTGAATTGGGCGAGATAGAAAATGCTTTAAACAGTTATGAAGGAATAAAACAGAGTGTGGTACTTGCTACAGAAAATGCCGACGATAAGTATCTATTAGCTTATTATGTTGCAATTAATAAACTTGATGAAAAACAAATTTTTCAATATCTACAGTCTAAATTGCCAGATTATATGATACCAAGGCATTTTATCTTTCTTGATAAACTACCTTTAAATATTAATGGTAAACTAGACCGTAAAGCACTGCTTGAGTATAAAGCGGCAGTGGTAGGGCAGAGTAATATTTACGCACCTCCAGCTAATGCGTACGAAAAAGAGCTAGCAGAAGTATGGGCTAAAGTACTTGGCAGAGAACGAGTGAGTATTCATGATAATTTCTTTGATTTAGGTGGTCATTCATTATTATTAATTAAAATGGTTGCTACGTTACCACAATATCTGCAAGAAAAACTCAAACTGATAGATGTATTTAAATATCCAACTGTGAACTTACTAAGCAAGTTTCTCATGAACGAGGAGAGTAAATTAGCTGATACTGGAGTAACTAAAAAAATAAAAACTAACTCAGGAACTGTAAAGGAAGTGGCCATAATAGGTATGGCCGGACGTTTTCCAGGAGCGGAAAACATAGAGGAATTTTGGGAAAATCTAAAATCATCCAAAGAATCCATTACCTTTTACACTAAAGAAGAATTGGCAGCAGCAGGAATAGATAAAACTCTACTTGATGACCCAAATTACGTAAGAGCACAAGGAAAACTGAGTGATATCAAAGGTTTCAATGCTAATTTTTTTGGCTATACCGATATGGAAGCACAAATTATGGATCCGCAACATCGTTTATTCATTACTTGTGCTTTGGAAGCCCTAGAGAATGCTGGTTATAATCCTCAAGAATATAAAGGAAATATTGGAATATATGCCGGATCAGGTACTCCTGTATATTGGATGGAACATGCTTCTGCCACTGCAGCAACGGATGATTTAGCTAGCAGATTCCAATTAATGCTCAATAACGCCAATGATTTTTTAACCACAAGAGTCGCTTATAAATTTAACCTTACAGGGCCTGCTATTAGTGTGCAAACTGCTTGTTCTACTTCACTAGTTGCTGTGCATCAAGCTTGTGGCGCGTTGCAATTAGGAGATTGTGATATTGCATTAGCGGGAGGTGTTTCTTTAACGTTTTTAGAGAAACAAGGTTATTTGTATCAACCAGGAATGATTTATTCTCCGGATGGAAAATGTCGTGCCTTTGATGCAGAAGCACAAGGTACTGTTAGTGGCCAGGGGGTAGGAATAGTAGTGTTAAAGCCACTACAGCAAGCAATAGCAGATAAAGATCATATTTATGCTGTAATTAAAGCTTCGGCAATTAATAATGATGGTCATAACAAGATAGGCTTTACTGCTCCCAGTTCAGAACAACAAGCAGAGGTTATAAGATCAGCACAGGAAAAAGCAGGCATTATTGCAGATAGTGTAACCTATATTGAAACTCATGGGACAGCCACTACTTTAGGAGACCCAATAGAAATTGAGGGGTTGAGCAAGGCTTTCAAATATATCACCACGGACAAAAAACAATATTGTGCTATTGGTTCAGTAAAAACCAATGTTGGACATTTAGGTACTGCTGCTGGTGTTACTGGTCTGATTAAAACGGCTCTTTGTCTTTATCATAGAACATTAGTGCCTTCATTACATTATAACAAAGCTAACCCAAAGATAAACTTTGCTGATAGTCATTTTTATGTGAATACTGAAACTAAGAAATGGCAGCCTAATGCCTTACCACTGCGTGCTGGAGTGAGTTCTTTTGGTATAGGTGGAACTAATGCGCATGTGATTCTCGAAGAAGCACCGATAGCAGCTGACAATCTTAGTGCAGATAGTACAGAATTTGCAATCAAGCCGTGGCAACTAATTAGCTTATCTGCTCACACTAGTACTGCTCTTGATAAGCAATCAGCTAATATAGCAGATTTTTTATGCAAACAACCATTTACTCATTTAGAGAAGATGGCCTATACTTTACATGTAGGACGTCAGCGACTTAAATATAACAGATTTGTTGTTGCAAGTAGTGCAGAAGACATTATCTCAGCACTTGAACAGCCTGATCAAGCTTACATTGAGCAAGTAGGTGAGCGGCCAATTGTTTTTATGTTTCCAGGTCAAGGTGCTCAGTATATTAATATGGGTAAGGAACTATATGAGGCTGACAGCAATTTTAAAGAAAATATCGATAAATGTTTAGCAATTGTTAAGCATAAATTATATTATAATATAACACTGGACGATATTTTAGGTAGAACCACCAAAATCAACCAAACATTTATCACCCAGCCGGCTTTATTCATTATTGAGTATGCTTTAGCACAATATCTTATTCATTTAGGCATTAAGCCTACTGCAATGATCGGGCATAGCGTAGGTGAGTATGTTACAGCATGTTTAGCTGGAGTATTTTCTCTTGAAGATGGCATAGCGTTAATTATCGAAAGAGGGCGATTGTTACAAAGTCTGCCTGAAGGTAAAATGCTTGCTGTCCCGTTGTCATATAAGGAAACGGCGCAGTATTTACCAGGATATGATTTAGATATTGCCGTAATTAACGACGCAGAAAGTTGCGTGGTAGCCGGTTCCATAACTGCTATTGATAAATTTAATGATCACTTAAAGAACAAGGGAATAGATTGTCAGCTGCTTAAGGTATCACATGCTTTCCATTCACGAATGTTAAAACCAATTCTACTTAAGTTTTATAATGCAGTAAGCCAAATACAACTAAAACCACCTACTATACCTTTTATCTCTAACCTTACTGGCACTTGGGCTGATACAAACAAGATTACCACGCCGCAATATTGGGTAGATCACTTACGTAATACAGTACGTTTCACACAAGGATTAGATTGTTTATTTAATACTGAGTCCATAGCAAATAGTATATTCCTAGAAGTAGGACCAAGTCAGATCCTAACATCTATTGCCCGCAAACATCAAAAGAAACAATCTAATTTAGTGATACCGTCTATGAGACGTTATCATGAAAATAAAAATGATAATGAATTATTGCTTATCAGTTTAGGTAGTTTATATGCAACAGGAATAAACATAGACTGGGAGAAGTTTTACAAGGGACCTAATAAATGTCGTATATCTCTACCTACGTATCCTTTTGAAAACAAGCCGTACTGGATTCCTGCTGCAATGTCAAACACAATAATGTTGCAGCATGAACAAGAGCAAACAGAGGTGACTTACAATGCTTTATCGGTAAAATCTAGCAATATAGTAGAAACGAAGATTTTAACTCCTATAGAATCTATTATTATCAGTATTTGGCAACAAATATTGGGTAATTATAATATCAGTATTCACGATGATTTTTTTGATTTAGGTGGCAATTCTTTAATGATAGTTCAGCTAGCCAGTAAGTTAAAAAAACAACTAAATGTCCAAATAGATTTAGCCAGTATAGAAAAACTAACTATTCATGCCTTAGCAATCGTAATAGAAGATAAAAGAATACAGGATCATGGAGTGGCTAAGCATACACATAATCCTAACGTTATAATGCTTAAACATGGCAATCAAACCAAACTACTACCACTAGTTTTAATCCATCCTATTGGAGGAGATGTATATTTCTACCGAGATTTAGCTATGGGATTGGCTGCTGAACAAACGGTATATGCAATACGTTCTCCAATGTTATCAGGACAAGCAGCATATAATAGTATTGAAGAAATGGCTGAGGATTATTTGCAAGAATTAAAGAAGTTCGGCATCGAATCCCCATATATACTGGGTGGATCATCATTTGGTGGAATTGTAGCTTATCAGATGGCTCAAATTCTTCATCATAAAGCTCTAGACACTCCTACGGTAATATTAATTGATGCTCCCGCTTACGAAAATATGCCTAAAACAATGGAGGATAGTGCTGCTATTTTAGAATATGTTTCCAAATATGTATTAAACAACAATAAAATCTCAGCAATAAAGTTACGTAGCGTGGGTGATACCAATGCTCAAATCCAATATGCCATAGAGCAGTCTAATGGCGGGGGATTAGACATAGATGCTTTAACAGAAATTAACGTTAATTTTCTGAAGGTTTGGCAAGTAAATGCCAAGATTATGGTACAATATGTACCTTCTCCTTATCAAGGAGCAATAGTTTTTTTCTCTCCTACCGAAGTAATGCTCGAAATTCCTACAAATCAACGTTTACATTGGATTAAATTAGCTGTGGGAGATTTTAAAAGTTTTCATATACCAGGAAACCATATCACGATGAACTTTAAACCAAATATAAACATTGTAAATGAACATATAAGAAGGATTATTGAACATGAAACTTATAGAAAGTTAAATAAAACCTTGTTACTTAATTAAAAAGATAAAACATTATTAGATTTAAAATTAGTAACACACATTAAATAAAACATATCTTAAATATAAATAATAAGAGGTTATAAGCTTATGAATATTGCAAATATATTAAAAAAATTTAGTGATTTACCTAAACCAATGCACACACTAATAATTAGTAATCTATTCATGCTGGGTCATATATTAAACACTACACATGATTTAAAAATTTATCAATATCTTAAAGATAAAGCTTTGACTGTAGAAGAGCTAGCTGATGTTAGCAAAACTGATAAAGTAATTTTAAATAAAATACTCTTGATCTTATACAATTTCGGATTTATTGAACAAGTAGATGGTACAAAATATAAAGCGAATGATATTACTGAACAGTTGAATTTTTTACACTCTGCATTTATTGGTAATAAAGTAGCAGATAGGGCTTTATGTAATCTATCTAAATCTCTTAAAACTGGGAATTTAGCTTGGAATATTACTTATAAGCAATCTTTCTACGAAACTTTAAATGAAAATCTAGACCTTTCAAAAGCATTTGATGAGTGGAATCATGAGACAGCTAAGCTTTCGTTATATCCTATAATTCCTTTCTATAATTTTGCTCAATTTAAGACAATAGTAGATTTGGGAGGAGGAAAAGGGTATTTTATAAATGAAGTATTACAAAGGAATAAAGAAATGCAAGGGGTTTTATTTGACAGGGATGAAGTAGTAAAAAATGCGGAAGTATTTTTAAATAGTACTAATATTCTAGAACGCTGTAAAATCGTTGGTGGAAGTTTGTTTAAGTCTATACCTGAATGGGGAGATATTTATTGTATAAATCGTGTATTGCTTAATATGAGTGATGATCAAGTTTTACAAATATTACAAAATTGTAGATTAGCAATGAAGCCAAATGCAAAACTAATAATTATAGACGCTGTAATTTCTAGCTCAACTGATAATCCTACATATACATTAACCCTTTTGAATGATTTGCGGCTTTATTTGTTAATGGGTGGATGTCATCGAGATAAAACAGAATGGGAAAATTTACTTAAAAAAGCCTCATTTAGTGTACCTAAAATATTATCATTTGAGGGAATATCACTTTTTTCTATAATAGAGGCAGTTCCAATAGCTAACGATATTAAATTATAATGAAAATAAAAATGATAATGAATTATTGCTTACCAGTTTAGGTAACTTATATGCAACAGGAATAAATATAGACTGGGAGAGGTTTTATAGTACATCATCTAGTAAAGGACGCATTCCTATACCGTCTTATCCATTTGAGAAAAAAACTTACTGGATTCCTGCTGCAGTCTCAACCAAGGTAAAACAACCAGGACAGACAGTAGCTAATTGCGATAGTTTGGCTATGAGATATGATAGAATAATGGCTGTGACTACAGAGCAAGATCTGACTTCTGTGGAAACTGTTATTATAGACATTTGGCGGCAAATACTTGGTACTCATAATATCGGTATACATGATGATTTTTTTGATTTGGGTGGAGATTCATTAATGATGGTACAGCTGGCAAGCAAATTAAAAAAGCAACTAAATGTACAAATAGATTTAGCCAGTATAGAAAAACTAACTATTCATGAATTAGCAAGTATAATAGAAGATAAAGAAATACAAGATCATGGTTTAAATAGTAAACACGAGCATAATCCTAACGTAATAGTGCTTAAACATGGTAACCAAGCCAAGTCCTTACCACTAGTTTTAATCCATCCTGTGGGGGAAGATGGGTATTTTTATCGTGACTTAGCTAAAGAACTACCAGATGAACAAACCGTTTAGGCGATACGTTCTCCCATGTTATCAGGACGAAAAGCTTATGATAATATTGAAGAAATGGCAGAAGACTATAACAAGAATTGGAAAAGTTTGAGATCAGACCCCCCATATATAATAAGTGGATCATCCTTTGGCTGCACTGTTGCTTATCAGATAGCGCAAATTCTTCACTATAAAAGTGTAGGCACTCCTATGGTAATATTAATTGATACCCCAGCTTATGGAAATATTCCTAAACCGCTGGAAGATAGCGCCGCTATTTTAGCATATTTCTCCAAATATGCTTTAAGTAAACTTAAAATCCAAACTGAAAAATTACGTAAGATAGGTGATATAGGTCAGCAGATTCAATATATAATAGAACAAGCTAACTCTTTAAAATTGGACAACACCATACTGCAAGTGCTTAATGTTAATTATATTAAAACTTGGCAAGTAAATCAAAATGTTATGGCACAATATATACCTTCTCCTTATTATGGACCAATAGTTTTTTTCTGTCATACTGAAATAATACCAGAATTTCCTCCAGATCAACAGTTACATTGGCTTAAACTAGCTATAGGAGATTTTCGCAATTTTCGTATACCAGGCAATCATATTTCCATGAACCGTAAACCAAATATAAGCATTATAGCTCAACATCTTAGGAGAATTATCGAACATGAGACTTACCAAAAGTTAAACAAGGCTATGATTGTTTAGTAAAGAGAAAAAATAAATGAAGTAAGATTTTAAAAAAGGAGAGGTTATAATATGTCCATGAATATTGCTAATATGTTAAAAAAATTAGGTGATCTACCTAAACCCACGTATGCGTTAACAATTAATAGTTTATCTATGCTATCTCACATATTAAATACTGCACATGATTTAAAAATTTATAGATATCTTAAAGATAAAGCTTTGACTGTAGAAGAGCTAGCTGATGTTAGCAAAA